TTAACACTTTAATGCCTTACACTTTGAGGAAGATAGGCCACACAGAAATGTGAAAAAATTAGTATTGTTAAGACCTTACATATTTAGCAAAATAAGACAAGCTGAAAGATTATATGGATATTCTGATTAATAAGTTTATTTGTTTTGGCGTGGACACCCATCTCATATGTATAATTCTGGGCAACTAACAATTAAAAAGAGAATAAAAACAGAATAAGTCATTCTCAAGACACACATAATTCTCCAAGTCAGTGTTTCCCAACCTTGGCCCCTTTAAGACAGGTGGACTTCAGCTCCCAAAATCCCCCAGCCAGCTATGCTCTAAGCAAAACAAGACATTGGGTCTTCTGACTTACTCTTGTATGAATTCTCGATTCATTTTTTTCTGCTTATTATGTTGTAAATTATATGCTTGATCACAGTCAGGGATGTAATAAAGGAATATTAATGCTCTCTGGAAAGCAACTGGACCCTCTCTGTGGAAACTGGCTGTTGGAACTTGCGGTTTTATCTGGGGAAGGATCGATACAGAGATCTTGCTGAACTATTTGGAATGAAAAGCCATCCATTTCAGACAAAGCACAGCTAGTCCTTGACTTACAACAATTCATTTAGGGACCATTCAAAATTACAATGGCACTGGAAAAAAAAACTGATTTATGACTGTTTTTCTCGCTTATGACCATTGCAACATCCCCATGGTCACAGGATCAAAATTCAGATGTGTGACAACTGAGTTCATGTTTATGACAGTTGCCGTGTCCCGGGATCATGTGATTACCATTTGCAATCTTCTGACAAGCAAAGTCATTGGGGAAGCCAGATTCATTTAAGAACTGTGTCACTAACATAACAGCTGCAATGATTCACTTAACAACTGTGACAAGAAAGGTCGTAAATTGGGGCAAAATTCATGTAACAATTACCTCGCTTAGCAACAAAAATTTTGGACTCAGTTATGGTTGAAAGTCGAAGACTACTTGTAGTACAACTAAAATAATGAACTGGAGAAACAACAGAAACAGTTTTGTGCTGCCAATGAACCGGGCTGGGGGACTTGCGTATTGTTCACATGGTCCTTATTAACAGCTGGATGTCATTATTGCAAATGCTTTTTCATACACAGAGTGAGGTGGGTCCCAACTTTTTTTCCTTGCTGGAAGATGGAACTGAGAATTTTACCTTTTATGAGTTACAAACAAGTGCATTGACTGGATTCAAATTTCTAAACCAGGGGTAGGCAACCTTGGCTCTTTTATGACTCGTGGACTTCAACTCCCAGAATTCCTGAGCCAGCCATGCTGAGGGGAAAGGGAGAAGTTTCCAAGCTGAGCCATGCTGGCTCAGGAATTCTGGGAGTTGAAGTTCATGAGTCATAAAAGAGCCAAGGTTGCTTACCCCTGGTTTAGAAATTTGAATCCAATCAATGCACTTATTTGTAACTCATAAAAGGTAAAATCCTGATTAGATTTGATTGGAAAGAAAATATCTTGTATGGGCACATTTCAACTTGATCTGGTACTGTTTCAAACAGAAGGGTATGGGTGTATGTGCAATTTCTGCCCCGACTGAGACATTAAAATGAAAACTTGACAAAGGAAAGATCAGTAAAACGCTACTAATAGTCCTCAACTTACAACTTGTTGTTAAAGTCCATTCGAAGTTATGATGATTTCAAAAAAGCTGCTTACAAATCATCCTTGAAATTATGACCGCCGCTATTCTGTGTCACATGATCACATTTTGGGTGCTTGACAACTGACTCACATTGACAACCAGTTGCACCTGTTCTGAGGTCACATGACCAACATGACCACAATTCATGATATTTTTTGCCAGATTCCAGGAAAAAAAAACGCCCATTCAGAAGAATGGATTTGCTTAATAAGCATGTGGTTCACTTAAGGGCCACAATGACTCATTTTACGACCATTATTAAAATGTTTGTAAAATCAAGTCCTCTCATGCGGTGCCTCAACTTAATGACTGCAGTGACTTATGACCAAAATTCTGAGCTGTATCATGGTCATAAGTCAAAAACTACATATACACTTTCGTATGTTTCATGTTGATCAGTTTTGCTGCCTCCAATTGTATTTGCTATGGAGGACTACTGTATATGCCGGCGTATTAGGCGACCCAGCATATAAGACGACCCCCGTCTTTATCGCCGAGCCGCATTCCTAGAACGTCATCTTATACACTGGAAACTACCAGTATTTCCGGCGTATAAGATGACTCAGCGTATAAGAGGGCCCCCGTTTTTGGCGCCAAGTTTAGCGCTTCCGGAAGTCATCTTATACGCCGGCATATACGGTATATATATGATAGATTTTTAAAACTAAAATTTGAAAAAATCAAGAAGTAACAGGAGTAACAAAGTTGAGATATTTAGCAAACAGCCAAGGTATTGCAGGGGCAGAATAAGAATGAATGCATTTTATTGTTTTTTTAATCATGACTGGATCTTGCCTTTCATGAAATTCTAATTCTACATTAATAATTTCTCAGAGTTTCTGCAAATGTTACCACTAGATGTCAGTAAAATTATTATAAGCAAACTATACTTCTGCGTTCTTGAGCATGCAATACATTTTTAAGTATGCATGTATTAGGCATAGCTACTCACAAAGATCAAGAAGACTCACTGAAGTCCCATGAATTTATGGAACACAGCCTTAATATCTTTTAGTACGGGTCATTTCATATTGTTATCTGAAACATATTTTGAGCAATGTGTGTTTCCTTCAGAATTAAAACCAATCTGATTGCATTGCAACCCCCACCTCCCCCAAAAGCCTATATCAGTGGTGGCGAACCTATGGCACGTGTGCCAGAGGCAGCACTCAGAGCCCTCTCTGTGGGCACGCGTGCCATGCCCCAGAGATGGCAACCGTCCCTCTTCAACCAGCCACCCGCTAACTCGCCAAGGTCCCACATGGCCGGATGCATCCCAGCACGACTGGTTTCCCTCCCTCCTGTCCCATCCCTCCTGGCCTCGAATGCTCTGCTTTTCACAGGCATGACCCACTGCATTACCTCCTCAGCTGTCGGCCATCTGTCCAACTCATTGGCGGCTTCTCTGAACATCTGGTGGCGGGCTGTGGAGCCCCAGAGCGCACCAGTCGAGGGGCTGGCAGGCTGTGGCTGCTGAAGACACTATTGGCTCCCATGCACTTGCTGGCCTCTGTGTACGGGGGGCGATGATGTCAGGCAGCAGCCGCCCCAGTCCCTGTCTCGCCCTGTGACAATGGCACCCCAGCCCTGTCTTGCCTTGCCTCACCCTGCAGGACAAGCCTCCTGCCCACTGCCCCACCTGCCAGAGACCCCCTGGATCTCCCCAAACCCTGCCTGGCCTCCACAGGCATCCCTCACCATGAGCAACATCGAGGTGACCACGCCCACCCAGTGGGCCACACCCACCTGGCACCAGGTGATAAATAAATGGGTTTGGGGTTGCAATTTGGGCACTCAGTCTCTAAAAGGTTCGCCATTACTGGCCTACATCATCCTTGGTGGGATTAGCTGAAAATTAATGGACAACATTCATAAAAGGTGGTAGAATATGCAACACTCTTATTTTATTTTGAGTGGATTTTCAGAGTACCAGCAACTCTGGTTGTAATCTGTGACCTGGCACTAAGTACCATCGTCAACTAATGTGACCGAAGGCCACATCGGCTAGTTAACAGAGTTGTACTACAAAACACCAGAATGGTACAATGCTAGAGCATACTGCTTATATACCAAGAGAATAGTATATGGGTAACATAAGATGTAAGTAGCATCTATAGCTCCGTGTGTAGCATGTAGTAATAACAGCTTAGTGCTGAACTGCATACATATATATGAATCTCTTATGTGTAACCTTTGATAAGTCCATTTTCAGGTTCTTAGGAAGAAAACATGAGAATTTATCTAAAACCTAAAGTGCTGCTAACAGCGAATACAAATAGTACTGAATGTGACGGAACAATGAAGATTACCTATGGTTAAATTATCTATGGGGTATTAAACAAGTTTTTACAATGCACTACTACACCATACATTAGGCAACCACATTTTAGCCGGAAGAAGTCAAATCAGACTTCCATTTTCCCCTTAGTTTCCTTGGCAAAATTCTTTCTTAAGATACATTAAATCAGTTTCCCAGATACAAGATTGGCAGCTGAGGCAGTAATTAGCTAGCCATGCATCTCTAAATCATATCATGACATTTTTTTTTCTCATTCACCTAGAAAATTCACATTTCTTCCATGCTGAGCTACAAAAATCTGAAGCACTATTGGACCTCGATCCACTAGTCCTAACTCATACATAGACTGCAGTCATGTATTTCATTAATAGGTGAAGCCAGTCACTGTGCTTATAGATAATGGATTACAAATTTTTACAAACTGAGAACCCAGCCAGCTACGTTTATTCAATAAATCATAGTTTAAAAAACCACAGTTTAATGTAAAAAGTAAACCCACCTTTTATGGAAGAGGTCCCCAACCTTTTGAGCACCAGGGACTGGTTACATGGCAAGAGGTTTTTCTGCGGACTAGAGGGGGTGTGGTTTTGTGTGCTGCCTGCATCCCACGGATGAGGCTTTGCTTGTTTGTCTGGCCCAGTTGCTGGCATGCTGCAGCCAGGTACCAGTCTATGGACTGAGGGTTGGGGACCCCTGCTTTATGGCATAGTCAATGAACTATGATTAAAACAAATTAAAGCACAGGAGAAAAGTGTGTATTAATCTAGCCATGTGCACTCTGTCACATGCACATGATACATTAGGGCAGTGGTTCTCAACGTTTTCTTCGTCATGGACCTCTTTTAGATACCTTTTGCAGCCACGAACCATGGCTATAGACCACCAAGATTTAAATCATAACATTTCTTCAAGCCTTCATGGACCCTGTGATGACATCATGACCACCTATGGGTGCACAGACCACAGACTGAGAACCACTGCATTAGGATATCCAGTACTTTTTAAAACTAAAAACAAGTCAGAGTTGCAATGTGGAAAACACCCTACATCTCCTTCTGATCCTTAAATACAGTATATCTATGCTAGAGATGTTGGAACCATGCCTAATCATGTAAGGAGCCTTAACTTGTGCCAGTTAGTTTTCATGAAGCATTCTAGCCTAATTGTACTAACTGTTCAGTGCAATTCACCTTGTTTCTAATGCAGGGGTCTCCAACCCCTGGTCCGCGGACCGGCACTGGGCGCAGCATGCCAGAAACCGGGCCGCGCAAAGAAGCGAAGCCCCATCCACAGGATGCAGGCAGCACATGAAACCACACCCCTTCCGGTCCACGGAAAAACGCCTCTCCATGGAATCGATCCCTAGTGCCCAAAAGGTTGGGGGCCACTGCTCTAACGCCTAGGCAGGCCAGCAGTTGAAGAACATAGCTACTTAAAAGAACATGGCTGCATTCCACTGTAGGAAATTAGTTTAATTGTTAACTACTTATGATCAGTCCCACCTTGTTCAACCTCGTATGCTAACTAAGGCTAATCTCTGAACAATTTGCTAACTATTAATAAACCAAAGTCTGAAAGTGAATTATTAAAAAGATTAATTATTATACATATTTGTCATATGTATTCTACCTGACAGCTTGCTGTTTCTATGTACATTGGGTTTCCAGGTGGAGTTTTCTGCTATACTACTGGTATTATACTAGCATACTATATACAAGCCATTTTAAACAAACCACTGTTTAACATGATATAGGAATTCAGCCAGTCAGGTTGTTACTGAGAAAGAGATGCAAGATTTGTAATATTTGCTTTATTTACAAATAGGTAGGATGAATATATTGAAAGCAAACAGATTTCCTGCTTTTGAAATCCTGAAAAGTATCTTTTACAGCTTCTTCTCTACTAGAAAGTTGGATACCATCAGCCTCTTGCAACTAAATATAGCCAGAAGCTCTCCACATTCTTTCCATTTCAGCCTTCAAATTTTTGTTTTTGCTAACTCTGCGGGCCCACCCTTCTTCTCCAAATGGGAACCTTTTTCCTCTACCTTAGGATGAAGGCTGAGGACAAACTAGCTTCTATAGTCAAAAAAGAACCGCCAATCCAAGTGAGAGAACAGCAAGGGGAAAATTTCATTCCGCCCTTGCAGGAATATTAAAAGAGTCATTTAAGAGGAAGAAAAGTAAACAGCTCAGCAGTGATTGAGCAAGCTAATGGGCAGAAAATTATAAACAGTGCATGGAAGCCACTGAATGAAACAGTCTGAACCCTGGATAGAAAATCCACCACATTGAAATATTGCTATTTATGTATGTATTTTTAAAGTTAATTCATATGGGTGTCCATTTGCCAGATAAGATATTACTGGTTTGTTTTGTCTGTCCAATCCTAAAATTGTTTCTCAGTTATTAGTAGTTCATATAACCATCATGGTCACCTTAATAAAGCATAAACCTTCATTTTGAACTATTAGCCATCAATCTACTTGAGAGTCAGCAGCCATAATAATCCTGTCTCTGTTTAATAAAATAGTTTGGGATATTTACCTAATAAATATTTCTGTAAAAACAATATAATATATACTATGAGTACTGTTGGAACCAAGTTAAGGAATTTGTAACACAACTTTCAATGGAGAAATTAGCACTTGTTTAACTTTTTTTCACAGAATTCAGTGAAGCTTCAAAATCTTGTCGACGTTTGGCTATATATATATAGTGCACTGTTAATTATACGTTCTGGTGTCATTTTCTATTAATAATTTGTTCTTAACCAACTATATAAACTCAGAGTTTAGAAACAACTAAATAATGAACTTGTTAAACAGTGATTAAAACCACAGAAACCTTATTTGCACTGTAAGTAACCCAAATAGTAGTTTGTTGTTTTTTTTAAAAAAAGATTGTTAAATGAAATAGATAATGCCCAATGTTAAATCATGTTTTTGTTTGTTTTATGTCTCCACAGAATCTAAGAAGATTTTATATAACCATTTGGGAGAATCTACTGAATACTTGTGAAGAAAGTTGTTATCTTGGCAAGCATTAAATTGAATGCTATTTTTCAAGTGTTTTCAAACTGGGCATTTTGTTTTAAACTCTTGTCATTATAGTTATACTTTCTATAATAATCTTCTGTAATTGAGAGAGACTTATAGAAATACAGTATACTATTCCTGTAAAAAAAAAAGTCTTTTCCAATATGTGGAGGAAATTTGGGTTTAGCCCTATTAAATTATACCCATTAAAATCAAAATGACCTAAATTAGCTTAATTAGTTATGTCTCATGTTTTCCACTGGATCTATACTAATCTTTCATTACAGTATACTATTTTTATCTGTTACTGATCTTAATAATTATATTCTAATTTATTTTGTTTAAGTCCATTTTTAAAGAAAGAGATTAACATTTTATAACAAATATACTGGAGAAAAATATTCACTTGATTATATAGCCTTTATCCTGTAATGAAGCTAAATTGCATTTAAATGTTATTCTAAAAACTGCTATCTTCCTTTCTAATGGACTGATAGCCATCTACTACATACTTGTAACTATACTATGGCATATGCTTCTATTGTAAAATAAATTATTTTCACATCACTATTTTTCTATTATTTTCTATTCAGTTGTGGACAATATGCACATATTTATACAAAATACAACAATAGTTCTATGTTTGCTGGTTTGTTTTTCAAAATGTCAGTTAGAAAGAAAAAACAAGATTTGGACAGATTTTTCTGCTGACTTCCCATTAGTATTTCAAGGTCGCTTGTCCAATTGTGTGAAAATTGTAACAAAAATGATAAATGAGAAATACAGGATCCTTCATAAATGCGGGAAATAAAGCATACAGACATGCTGAAAACTCTAATACTAAAAAATTAGCTCTGTTTGGCACCAGCTAGAATAAACATTTGATGGAACAGTTTCAGGTCAAACCAAATTCCTTGCAATACACTGAGCATAATTACATAATATTATATACAGTATTTCATTTATTATATCTGGAACATCAAGAAGAGGTGCATGTCATCAGTGTCCATAGCTCCTTTTTGACATCAGGACATGCCCCTTGGCTTATCTTTTTGATATAAAGTCAAGACCTTGAAAAAAACAAAAAAAGATGGCTGTTTGACCGGTTCTAAAAAGTATAGTCTACTCTTGATTCCCACAAGGTCATGTTTTTGATATTAGAACATTTCTGTTGCTTTTGTATTTACAAATCTTATTAAGTTTGCAATCATATCTGCACTTTTCAGATTACTTCAGTAAAAACAAATATGATGTGACGGTTGTATGATGTAAATTTTTTCTGATGATAAAAATTCTCTTGACAGGTTCTCAGTCTGGTTTCCAGTGGTGCTGGCTAGTGAACATCCAATATTTTAAAAAGGAAATACAGGTAGTCCTTGACTTACAACCACAACTGAGCTCAAAGTTTCGGTTGCTAAGTGAGAGATTTGTTAAATGAGTTTTTCCCCCATTTTATGACCTTTCTTGCCACAGTTGCTAAGTGAATCACTGCAGTCGTTAAATTAGTAACACGGCTGTTAAGTGAATCCAGCTTCCCCATTGACTTTGCTTGTCAGAAGGTTGCAAAAGGGGATCACATGGTCCCAGGACACTGTGACCGTCACAAATATGAATCAGTTGCCAAGTGTCTGAATTTTGATCATGTGACCATAGGGATACTGCACCGGTTGTAAGTGTGAAAAATAGTCATAAGTCACTTTTTTCAGTGCCATGGTAACTTTGAATGGTCTCAAAATGAACTGTTGTAAATCGAAGACTATTTGTATTGTATTTGAATAGTTTTTGAGTATTGTTAATAATTCAGTTCATATGGAATGCAGTGTTGCTAAAAGAAGCACAATATAAAATAATTCTTTGTGCGTTCAAAGAGATCTGACTTATTTTTCTTCCTGTATTGTTACTCCACAGTAGGTCACCAACCTGTAAATCCCCAGAAATAATCATTAAAAATGCTTATAAATGTAAATCTGTATTTCAGTTAAAGCATTGGAATAACAGGAGTGGCACAGAAAATCAGTTCCAAAAACATTGTCAGCAGTGTAAAAAACATCTACATTATAATTGCCTGTTTTGGATGTTCCAGTCCAAAATTACAACATAGGTACTAAGTTGGAAAAATATAATCTAAGCAAATATTTAGTCTTTCCATCATCCATTAAATATTTAAAATGAACTGGTCAGATAAATCTTGTTTTGAAAGAAGTTGCATATAGATAATACTACTTTAGGGAACACTCTGTTTTTTATAACTACCTGATAAACCTGAGTAGTAAGGGATCCATATTCCAGAATTCTCCAAGTTATACCAGACATCATTTCTGGATGGTTATGTTCAATACTGAGTTTTAATGCAGTAATAAAGTGTGGGAAAAGATGAAATACAGAGATTTTTTTTAAAAAAGATTGCTATTTCTCTACTTATTTATTTAATTTCTTTACACTCCCTGCATATAATTTTCCCTAACCAGACAAATAATATTGAGAGAAAAGGGAAGCATTATCAGGGAGACATCATTAAGAAAAAGTGTGATTGTAGTTATTATTTACTTTTTGGCCATCTTGTTTTTGCTGGGACTGAATTCCCCCAATAGCATTATTTTGATCTAAGTTTTTCTTTGCCCTTATTTAATTGCTAAACTGAAAGAGGACAGAAGTTGATAATGTTTTAGTTGCTTTTCTTAATTTGCTTTCCTTCTTCTAAACCATGGTAAAGGGTTAACCTCTGGTGAATAACCTCAAACTCTGAGAAAAATCACAACATTAATCTTCTGGGCAGAACAAACATTTCAAGAAAGGAAAAAATGCTGCATACAAAGGGTGTGTTTCTAATGCCAGGAGAACAGTGCATCCTTGTGAAAATATAACTTACATAACAGAGGTAATAGAATTATTTATCTAGACTCATCAGAAGAAGTGGCAGTTGCATAGGACAAATTTATCTTTGTGGCTGTCTGACTCATGTGCAAATTATTGATCTGCAAAGGATTTTATAATTATTTGAAGGATAACCTTCTTTTGGTCTGCAAACCGGCTTCTCCTTACATTGTCATGCTTGATAAAATGCCTGGATTTTGGATCTTGTCAAATTTTATCACCTACCAAAAATAACCCCACCCACAATGATACATAGAAACCTTCCAACCAAATGCTAGAAAGCCAAGAGTAGATGTCGGCCATATAAAATTTAAGAAATTAATTTAATCTAAGGGATTGGTTTGGACAAAACTCAGCAGCACTTTTTCGTGTGGCTGCTGATAAAAACAGGATTGCCAACATGATTGCCAACGTCCGATAACAGATATGGCACAAGAAGAAGAAAAATGAAGATTGCCTTATGGCTCTATCTCAGTGTGCTACATTGGTTCACTTCTAGGAAGAGTGAGGTGATGCTCATGGTGTTCTTCACAAATCACAATCACTGAGCAAAGCAGTACAGCTGTTCTGCGTCTATGAAGATAAACGAGCATTGCCTTACTTTGAAGGAACACTTTGAACCAAGCTTAGTGAAGCTAAGTGCTCCTTTGAAGATCGGCACACAATTTATAAATAATTAGACAACCGGTTGGGTCAGTGTTTCAGAGATATTTCCTCAAATAAACAGAGAAATGGAATGAGCAAGGGTGGGAAGAAAAGCAGTGGGAACAGGAGTGACTTCTGACTTCCTGCTGGTTTCCTTGTGGGATTCTGGCAGGGAGCATTGGAAAGCCTGCCTGCCTACCTGCCTGCCTGCCTGCCTTCCCCATTCACTTTCCTTTCCAGCAGTGGCTGATGCTGCTGGGGGATAATGCAGTGAATTGCAAAACTGGCTGGGAAACTATCATGGAATATTGAAAATGAAGATCACATGTCTGAAGCAGCAGCAACCACCACTGAAGCAGTAACCACCTTGCCAAGTTTCATTCCCAAGGGAGCCATGGGTCCTGGATTTTGGACACATTCTGTAATTAGCCCTTTTGAGTACCTTGATTCAAAAATTGTTACCCTATGATGCACTGTTTCACCCAATTAAAGCTCATGATGAGAGTTTTAGTAGTACATAGATTCCAAAAATACACAAATGGTATTTAAACTTAATTGCTAAGCTTTTCCATTTCTGTTTTATGAAAAGTAATGATCATGATAAATCTGTAAAACAGAAATTTATTGTTCATAAAAACACCTTGGTAATTGACAAGAAGCTATGAGAACAAAGGAAGAGATATGTATTTGTCTCTAACCCAAAACACAACAGGAGACCCGCTTCATTCATTTCTTTGTTTATGTAAAATGAGTTTTTATAATGCTAACCAGTACAACAGAGAAAGAGGGAAGCCGATATTATTTGCATTTCAGTCCATATATGAATACGTATATTACTAACACACTAATTTTATAAAGAATAAGAGTAGATCATGTCTTAATTTTCTGTGCTAAAGATATCATTACAATCAAATTTCAAAATCACATTTTTGTTGTAACCTAATCATATTTAGCACTGTTATTTCAATCTATAACAAATATAAAATGTTTCCTCTAATACCCACTTTCTTCAATAACTGCAATTAAGGAAGATTTTAATTCATCTGATGCCTGCTATCAGTCACTAAAATAGCGTTAATTTCAGTTAAATGAACTATTGAGCCATCTAAAACTGCAAGCCACATAATTTAGCAAGATTCTCCTGTTGTTGTTTTTATTTCTTCACATTACATTACATGAATCTACACTTTAAAAACAACTTTTGAAATTCTGGTTGCACCACTTACAACTGGATACAAATTTCCACACTTTTAGGCCTACTGTTGGCCTTTTAGTTGGAATAGGAAACATCAGAATTCAGTTCCTTTTTCAGCTCACCTTGAAAGTGACTAAAGTACAGTAGTGGCCAAAATTGTGGAAATCTTTTGGGAAAAGTGTAGATTTAAGGTTTGATGGCTAATAACACCACTTTTTGGGGAGTAGTACCATAAAATTATATATCAATGGAAAGATAATTTAATCAAGAATGTAATGCAACAAAGTTTGTTCAATTATCTGTACGGTATTCTATGAAAAGTTATAGCCAAATAACCAGAAAAAGGAAGCACAACTTGCTTAGGTTGATATCAGGTAGCTTTACTTCATCTGATTGTAGCCAATGAGCATGAGTGTTTAGAGAGCCAATTAGGGGTCATCTTGTTTTGGCAATGAGCCAATCAGATCACAGTAGGGTTCAGTTATTGATGTCATGTACTGAACCTGAGAGGAGGACATTTGTCAGTGTATTATGTGATCGCTATCAAGCTGATTGTTGGTTTTTTCTTTCCTTTAGTGAGCTTGTAAAATGTAATAAAATTAAAGTAATGGTGCAAAGAGTTGACTGATTGCCCAGAAAGCAATGTAAAATAGTATTATTAAGTGAACAGTTATAAAGAAATAAGAAAAATTGGTGGAAACTTAACCAAAGGTGGCATTTCTACTGTACATTTTTCCCAAAAGGTTTCCACAATTTTGGCCACTACTGTATTT